CGGCACACCGGGCCCTGGGATGGGCGAGGGGCCGCGTGGGCAGCGCGGACGGGGGGAGCATCCGCGGGCACCCAAACTCTAGTTAAGCGGCGAGAAGCAGGGTGGGCCCCGAAGGTTCTCGTCGGGAGCAGCCTCTGTGGCTGGGAAGTGGGGTGCACAACGTGGCGGGGAGGGAGGCCGAGGGGCGTGGGGGTCGGACGGAGGCCTCGGGTCTGCGGCGCGTGGCCGCGGGCACAGTCTGCGATTCCAGCTGTGCGCGACGACTTGGAGAGAAAGGGCGCAGACCCTCTGTAGGAGTCCCCAGGGTTCCGAGACCAAGCTACGCCGCTGCCCCAAGATGGGCCCAGGGGTGTCGAGATTTGGCACGTTCCAGCGCCACCACCCCTCGGCCCTCCCAGGGCCGGGTGTCCCGCAGCCGGTCCCCTAGCCCACGCAGCGGCTCGCACCCCTTGCGCCCTCACGCACAGACAAAAAGGTGAGGGTGTGAGCCGATTGAAGCCCACTGCCATTCCACGCTGCCAGGCACCCCGCCCCTGTTGCTCACTGCGCCAGAGCCGCGCGGATGCCAGAGGGCACGCGGGTTCAGTAGGCGCAGCGCGCCCCGGGGCGGGCAGGTGGCGGCGTGCGGGCTGTGAGAGTGTGCGGCGAGCTGCGTGGAGCCACGCCGGGGAAGGGTGTGCGGGGACTTGGTGTCCTGTGCAGCTCGTCTAGCCGCGGCCGCTGATTGGTAGATCTTTGAGGGGGCAATTTGATCTGCGTAAGGCCTTTCCTTGTTCTTGTCCATCTCCACATCCGGTCCGCTGACAGCCCCAGACTCGGGTCTGGAGTAGCCCCACCTCTTTCCAGCGTGGCTGCAAGCTGCAGAAACAATGCCCATCCTTTAGCGCGAAGTCTGGGCATGCTCAGTAACTTGGGTGGGTTTAGGCCTAGAGCGTCCAGGCAAGGCGGGAGAGGGGGGTCGTGCATGGCAGTGTGGCCAAGAGTCCAGTCCCCTGGTCAGCCCAACCCCCAGAGAGAATTAAATGCAGGTCCCCACTGCCATCCCACTTTCGGGGAAGACTAGGGGGAACGGAGTTAAAGGTGGAAGACTTCCGGACAGTTTGAAGATGAGCCCCCCTGAGGCGGGGGGAATACACTTCCGGCAGGGCTGAGAAGCCAGGCAGGCGTCTGGGACCAGATGTGCTTCGCATTGAACTGAGCGCTTCCAGACCCGGAGCTGAGACTCCGGCTGCACCGTTCTGGCTTCCACATTAAGAAAGAGGTCTGGAGAGATGGAGGGCGTGCCCAAGGTCAAGGTTCTAGCGATCCTAGGGGACAATTCCAGGGGCTTCTCCAGTTGCAAGCCTGGTCCTGTGGGCCTCTTTGTGTGAGAAAATACAAAGTTCTTACTACATTTGTCCATATCCACATATTCCTGTCCACGGCCCTATTGTGTACGAAGGGCGTTTATCTTGCCGCTTTTACAGAAGGTCCCTCGAAGGTGGGATCATCCATGGGAGACAGAACTCTCCAGAGGGAGCTGTGGGAGATGTTTCTTCTTCCTGCTTCAGTGCCTTCTTAATATCCCCGGTTCTTCTGCTCCAGTGGGACAAAGGTCACCTGAGAGGTCTCCTGGAAAAGTCAGCAGTCCCAGGTCCTTGGGCAGCACTTTCCCTCCTGGCTCTCTGGAACTCCCAGACTTTGGACTCTGGGCTCCATGCAGATTTTCCAGCCGAGGGGGAAAGAGTTGTAGCCCCGACCACACCCATCGGGAGGTGCAGTCACACACAAGTAAGGACAGCTGGGTCGCCCCCGGGAGGCATGGGTACAACAGTCTCCTGCGCTCACCTGCCCATGGTGTCGTCCTGGTGTACCTGATGATATTCGCAGTGACCAGATCACTGGGTGAGATGCTCACAAGGTGTCCCTGTGTCCTAGCAACCATGAGAGTAGCAGGGACTCTTCTTCCCTCTCCAGAACACCTCCGTGACACCGGGCACCTGCCTGTTGTCTTTTTGTGCAAATGATCCATCAAAGTTTAAAGAAGGTATTGTGTTAGTAACTTCCCATTTGCGGAAATAGCCTGCTGAACATTTGCAAAGACATAACATGGAGGGTTCACTCATGATTCCAAATTTGACTTCTCTGGCCCTATGAGTCCTTTTTTAAAAACTTATTTATTTATTTGTGGTACTTAGGGCCTTTGCACTGAACAAGAGTCCCACTCTCTTTTATTATAGTTTTATATTGAGACGAGACCTCACTGAGTCACTGGATTGACCAGGCTTGGCCCCAACTTGCAATCCTCCTGCCGCAGTTTTGTAGAGTATTGGGATCACTGCCACATCCAGCCCTATTTTTGTAATTGTTACACCTATATTGTTATTTTTAAACGTCTTATCAATTCACTGTTGGATTTCTTTTTCTGAGGATTAAATCCAGGGGCACTCTATCACTGAGCTACCCTTTCAGCTCCTTTTTATTTTTTATTTTGAGATAGGCTGTCACTAAATTTCCCAGGCCAGCCTTGAAGTTTATATCCTCCTGCTTGCTCAGCCCCCGGAGTAGCAGGATTACAAGCATGTGCCACAATTGATTTTTAAGTCAAAGAAATGGAAAAACACCATCTTTAAGAAATAATTGAACTATGAAAGATTGTTTCACTTTTCATCTTTCTTTACTGGATTGTCATATTTTTAGTAAACATTAATTTTCATCCGTGGATATTAGGCATGAAAATGTGTTACCTTTACGTGTGTGACAGGGCAACTTGGCTTAGTGGGGGGTGAGTGACATCTTCCTGCACTGGACACGGATATATAATAAGGTCCTTGACTGTCTCAGAACATTCTGGAACACATAACAGGCATCTGGCTACATCTGCTTTCCTCTCTCTCATGGCGTATGAGTCGTGAACGCATAGTGGGGAGCCTAGATTGCTTGGGATCTCCAGAAGGAAAGAAGTCCTGGACTAGAGCAGGGCCATGTCCTGGGACCGGAAGGGTTTGTGGTAAAACCGAGCATTGTTTCTCCAGGAGCCCAGTGCCCTGCTGTGAGACTTGTCTCCAGGATAAGAGTGGAAAGCATCTCGCTGCCACCGAGCCGGGAAGGGTGAAGTGTCGAAGGCCAGGAGCAGTGGGAAAGCAGCTGTCCCAGGTGCCTGGCCATGGGGGGAGAGTCCCCACTGCATGGCTGCCATGAACCATAGACCCTCAGGCAGTGGCACTGTGACGACTGAGCCATGACCTGCCCACCTCGGTGGGGTAGATGTGAGGATAGTCTGGAAGTGCTGAGTTCCTGGCACTGGTCACGGACAGGTTATTGGGTCGGAGGACCTCAAGAAGACTCCCCACGCAGGGACCCGTGCTCGGCTGGGTTGTGTTGAGAAGCTTCCCCATGACTTCGTCACTGCTAAGGCCGAGCACGTCTCTGCGCCCTGCTTGCTGCCCTGGAGTGAGAGCTCAGCAGTGTCTGGGACCATGGCGGTGGAGGACTGGTGCAGGCTCATGGGCGTGGGTGATCGGAAGTCGCTGATGGTAACCGGCATCCCAAGGGACTGTGGGGAGGCTGAGACCGAGGCCACCCTGCAGGAGACTTTGAAGTGCGTGGGCCGGTACAGACTGCTTGGGAGGATCTTCTGGAAGCAGGAGAACCCCAGAGCCGTCTTGCTGGAGCTCCTGGAAGACCGTGATGTCTCAGGGATACCCAGGGAGGTGCAGGGAAAGGAGGGTGTCTGGAAAGTGACCTTCAAGACCCCTAGCCAGGACACTGAGTTTCTCCAAAGGCTAAACTTCTTTCTAGAGAAAGAGGGACAGACAGTCTCAGGGATGTTCCGAGCCCTTGGGCATGAGGGAGTGTCTCTGGCCACTGTCCCCTGCATGTCCCCAGAGCTGTTGACCCACTTGTTCAGACAGGCGATGGCACATGCCCCTCGGCCCCTGCTGCCCATGCGGTACCCGAAGCTGAGAGTCTTCTCCAGGAGTGCCACACCCACCCCAGAGGAGGAGCCCTTCGAGGTCTGGTTGGAACAGGCCGCCGAGGTAGTCAAAGGATGGCCTGTCATGGAGGCAGAAAAGAAGAGGCGGCTGATGGAGAGCCTGCGGGGCCCCGCCCTGGACCTCACGCACATAGTCCAGGCTGACAACCCATCCATCAGCATGGAAGCGTGTCTGGAGGCCTTCAAATAGGTATTCGGGAGCATGGAGAGTAGCAGGTGCTCCCTGGTGAGCTACCTGAAGACCTACCAGGAGGAAGGGGAGAAGGTCTCGGCCTACATGCTGCGGGTGGAAACCCTGCTTTGGAGATCCGTGGAGAAGCGGGCCATTCCCAGGAACATCACCGACCAGGTCTGCCTGGAGCAGGTCATGGCCGGGGCCAGCCTCAGCGAGGTCCTCTGGTGTCGCCTCAGGAAGATGAAGGATCAGGGGCAGCCACCCACCTTCCTGGAGTTGATGAAGGAGATACAGGAAGAAGAAGAGAAAGAGGCCTCTTTTAAAAATGAGAATATTGAGGAGCCACAAAAAGGAGGTGGCTGTGGGCCCTGGGTTAAAGAGCGAGAGGACTGAAAGGCAGCTAGGAGTGGCCGCCCCCAGCCGGCAGGCCTGGGGACCTTTGCTTGATTAGGCTGAGACCTTCACAGTATTTTTTCTTTATCCTTTAATGTATAGGATTGAAGCTGGGCGTGGTGGCACATGCCAATGGTCCTAGCACATGGGAGGCTGAGGCAGGAGGATCATTGTGAGTTCGAGGCCAGCCTGGGCTACAAAGTGAGCTCTAGGGCAACCTGAACTTCATAGCGAGACCCTGTCTCAAAAAGACAAATAATAATAAAATAATAATAATAATAATAATAATAATGTACAGGTTTGAAATCAAGGCATTTGAATCAACTCTTGCTTTTTCTTTCTAAGAAAATAAATACCTGGAGTTTCTTATGCCCTCAGCAGATTGTTAATAAATAAGAGACTGAATTCCAAATGTTACGTAGCCTAAAGAAATCTAAAACGCCCATACTTCTGGTTCTTTTTAAATAAATACCCCAAATAGACTAAAATGTGTTCATACAACAGAAGGGAAAATTGACATCAGAAAAAAGTAGCTTCTGTGATGAGTTTGAAAAACAGTAGCTTGGCCTGCTGTGGATTTACCTCTCTCAAACCAGCAAATTCCTGCTAAGCCCTGAGCACAGGAGACTTGATATAGGAGTTAGAGAGCTCCGGCCACCGTGGACAGTTAAGCGGTTGTGCACCTGCGAGATGGGCAGGTGCTCGGGAAGCTTCCAGCAGAGAGGAGCTGCCTGGGCATCAGGTGTGTAGGGAGGGTGTGGACAGAAGAGTAGGACACCACCTCCTCCGGATTTCCTTCTCTCACCTGGGAAGTATTCACATAGGTCAGGGCTCCCCAAGCCCCCAGTCCGTGGAACTGGGCTGCACAGCAGGAGGTAAGGGAGCCAGCAAGTGAGTGGAGCTTTGTCTGTATTTATAGCAGGTTGCATCACTCAGATCACCCCCCACAGCTCTGCCTCCTGTCAGATGAACAGCAGCACTGGATTCTCATGGGAACATGAACCTACTGTGACCTGCACAAGCAGAGGGCTCTAGCTTGTGCATTCCTTCAAATCATCCCCCAACCATACACATACCACCCTTTCCCGGCCCCTGGAAAAACTGTCTTCCATGAAGCCAGCCCCTCGTGCCACAAGACTTGGTACCACTGATGCAGAGGGTCCCAGAACCAAACGCTGCATCGCGCTCTGAAGACACGGGATGCATGCCGTCCCTGCTTTCAGGAGGCCCAAGGCACAGAAATGGCCTCAAGGAGAGGGTGGACATTGGAGGACAGCTGCACACACAGGACACATGCATGTAGCCAAGGGACTGGTCTGGTCGGGGAGGAAGGTTTTGAGTGGCAAAAAAGGGCAAAGAGGAAAGAACCTCATTATTGAGGGATAATAAGGAATTTCTCAGTGTCTCAGTGAATGTATGCAGCAACTGTGCTCTTTATTGGTTGTTTTTTTATTATTATTTTGCTCTTTAGGAAGAGAAAGAAACTGAAGTTCAGATGGGGTCAGTGTTCTCAACACCAAAATACTATGTAGCGCCACCTAGACCAAAGCCTGGAACTCTGACTCATGCAGATCTGCTCTTCACCTTCTTCGTGGCTTTCAGGTTGTGTTCTCAAAGTCCTGCAGAGATTTTTCAGTAGCCCATGTTCAAAATGTGCTTTATACCCTTGAAGTAGCTAACAAATAACAGGTAGGCTCAAATGTGCTGGTGAACAAACGTTAAAGCTCAGCATTTACCAGCAGATCTGCTTTTGTTTCCAGATTGACCCACTTTGTGTAGACCCTGACCAAAACTTTCCTGCTGGTGTCCGTCCGTGCACCTATCCAAACTTCCTCTATTTGTCCCTAGATTTAAAAGCTGTAGAACCTCATGAAGGTTTAAATCAGGGTCCTGAATGCTACATCAAGTGTGCCAGGCAGTGCAAATGAGCACCACCCATTAGTAACGTGCTGGGCAAAGCTCTGCTACAGTTATGTACAGCCTTGGGGTAGATCTGTGCAATGCCATAAACAAATTGCTTAGCTTCTGTAAACCTCAGTCTCCTCGTCTGAAAATGGGATGATGAGAATACAGGGTAGTGGTTAGGATCAATGACAAAATGCCTTTTAAGCCCTTCTGTTGATGTCTGGAACTTAGAAGAGTGTCAGTACATTGAGGCTCTTGGGATTTTCGTGATGCTTCTTGTCAGCTTAATGCATGCTGTCCTTACTGTTCTTCCGGTTGTGCAGGAACAAGTGAAGGTGTAATCTTCCCGCCCAGTTGTGAGGCCTTTTCGTTGGAAACCATTTCAGCCTTCTGTACTTGTGATGCGTATTCCAGCAGTTGTTGACAGTCATTAGTGACTTGACTTTAAAACAACATCCTAGAGTGTAGGTTCATTTATCAGGAGAATACCTTGAGTTATAAGAAAAGCACTTTAAATAAGGTATCATTTGTGACCATTTGTCTTTCTTGAGACTACTTCTCAGTACTGTTTTGCCAGAGGGATGTGATCATCATCCATTATACCCTGATTTCATGTGGTTTTGTGCTCATGAAAATGGCCTCACTATTGTCATTTATTGACATTCTACAAAGTGAAATGTTACCATTGTGAAGTTGTAAAATAAATCTGTGCTAATAAAATCCTGAGTTCCTTTTTCTGATCCCCATATTGTGGTCAGTAGAAGCTATTGTTTGAAGAAGGAGCTTCACTACAGAATATTTTTCACTAAAAAATATTCTGGGAGACACTTTTATAAAATCAAGCTAAACCAAAAGGTCTTGAACTCCTCCAGGCCAGAAAATCTGAAATGCTGAAATAATGCTTGGGCTGTGTCTCCAGGAACCAGAGAGAACTTAGCCCACCCCTCATTGATTTCCCTTTGAAATACACAGAAACAGATGGAAGCCACCTCTTCTGAGACGACCAGCTTACTTGCTTCGGAAAATGACTGTCCAGACAAATGCCCCAGCCTCTGATCTGCCAAGGGGGAAGGGACCAAAAGGTGGAATCTTGCATTTCCATGCTGAAGTTAGCTTCCTTATGTTGATGTACAGGGGGAAATTTCCTCTTCCCTTTGAGCATCTTGAAATTACTTCTCCTCTTGTCTGAGGTGTGATGGGGAAGCATCCCTCATGGGGTCGTACATATGGCAGACCAGTCCATTAAAGATGAGGGTCTAGAGGCTGGGGATTTATCTCAGTGTCACAGCGCCTGTCTGGTAAGTGCAAGGTCGTGAATTTGATTCCTGGTACCAGAAAAAAAAAAAAAAGATGAGGGTCTGAAGGTGCCCGACCCCATCTCCCAGTCACTTGAGCAGAATTTTCCTAGGAGGTGGGTCTCATCCTACACTTCTTAGGTCTCCTGTCCTAACCCTTGGAGACAGCTCTTCAAGATTTACACACTAGGCCAGGGATATAGCTCAGCGGCATTAGTGCCTGCCTGGCAAGGACCTGAGTTCAATTCCTGGTACCAAAAGTAAAAGAGGGCCTGTTGGGGATTTAGCTCAGTGGCACAGTGCCTGCCTAGCAAGTGTGAGGTCGTGAGTTTGATTCCTGGTACTGGAAAAAAAAAAAGATTTACGCACCTCTGCCAAAAATCACTTTTTACTAGGGGTGCAAATTACAGACCAGGCCTTCAGCCTCGTGCCTCTTCAGGCCTTGGGTGTCACCAGATGTTCACACCCGCACCAGCCATTCTGCCCAGCTCTGTGTCCTGTTGGGTTCTCCGTCCGAGTGAAGTGCTAAGCTGGCAGCAAGCCTCAGCATTGCTGCTGCTCCTGTGCATGCTGTCGCTCCACCGTGTCCTTAAGTGAACCCCAGTCTTCCTCGAGGTGTTCTTCGGCCCCGATGACCGCTGCCTAGGAAGCTGCTTGTCTCCCGCACGTCAGAGGGGTTGGAAGCTAGTGGTAGTGTTTCTCCTGGCTCGCCACCATCGTGTTCCCACTTCAGATACATGTGCTCCTTCCTGGCAGGTGCTTGCTGCTCTGTCCCACCAGGCACAGTGGAGCGAGGGGTCCTGCTGAGCCCGAACAATGACAGTGGCCAAGGGCAAGGACAGAGTAAGCCCATGCAGAGAAAGGTCCACACACAACTGAGCCTGGCTGGGTGTTCTCTAAAGTCAAAAAGAGCAGGAAGATAAGATTATGACTCAGCAGTGTCCGTGGGAGTCCTGCGAGACTGAGAAAGCAAGAAGGGCCAGAGCTGGAGTTTGGAAGAGCCAGAGCCTGAAATGAAACAGAAGTAAAGAAAGAGCAGCTGAGATGAATATTGTCACATGATTCCGGATGTGTTTTACGTGCCAGCAGCAGAACCCTTCAAGGTCTGATCACCTAGGATCAGGGCAGATGTCTCTCCCAACCCCCATCTGTCTGTGAGCCCAGAATCCTTGAGTTTGTCCAAGGAAGGCTCACACTCATTGAAACGCTGTGGTGAGGTGGAAGAATATGTCCACGGGTGGTCTTCTAAGAAGCCAGCCTTCCCACTGGAGCAGGGCCGGGAGTCGTCCTGGTCCTGACCTCAGTGACCCCCACTTCTCTCTGGGCCCAAATGCTCCTCGACATTCCAAATGGATATTTTCTAAAAATCGCTGCAACTCCAGAAGTGTGTCAAAATCAATTTTATCAGTCAGAAAAAGGTGTAGGATTTCAGTCTTGCTTTGGGGACACCATCTGGAGCTGGCTATTAATTGTTGGGGTGGATTTAAGCAGCAGCTGAGGGGATTTTTCTCAGTCCTCCTCCCTTCTGCCTTAGAAGGAAAAGTCACCAAGTGGGAGGAGTCGCAGTGCTAAAGCTGGGGCCCCTGTGGCAGTCCGTGGGAGGAAAGGGAAGGCTCTGTCTGCATCCTATCCTGCCCAGACCTGCCCAGTCCAGTGGGGCTTAATGACAGGCCCAGTAAAGGTCTTTCCTCACCATTAGGTCTTTCCCAACAAACTTAATTACTAAAATAAAAGCTTCCTTCACAAACATCTGTGACAAAAGTCAACTCTATATTGCTAGTGAATATAAGCAAGGCAGTGGGAATGGGATGGGTGAAGAAGGGAGGCCGTGGTCTGTGGATGACTGTAATATAGTTCCCCAGGAACATCTGCAAGTGTCAGCCAAGTCATGGTT